CATCAAAATCTATGGATTAGTTCCAAACGAAGATAAACCGAAGTCACAACCGTCTTGATGAAACAACCTCCATAGTTTTATCAACAAAATTTATAGATTAATCCTAAACGAAGACAGACCGAAGTCACAACCATCTTGAAGGAATATCCTCTATAGTTTTTAACCAATAATGGTTTCAAAACAGTTTTATCTTAAAACTTTGAAACTCAAGAACAACCAGTTCTTTCAATCTCATTTCCAAACTCAAAATCTCCTTTAAATCCTTAAAATAGGATATCATCCATAAACTGTTTTCAAAGAGCATCATCTACTTTATTTTCCAAAACAGTTTCCAAAAACCCAGATTCATAAAGCTCATCTTAAACTGTTAGAAACAGTTTATTCCACTTCTTTACTCAAAATCAAATATCACAGATTTCAAATATCATTATTTAAAGATCTTTAGTATCAAAACTCACCTTAATAAGCACAGATTGGTAGCTTCAAACACACAATAGTTTCTTCAAATAAACACATATTCCTCAAATCACTTTTTAAGCAAAAATCCTTCTCAAGAACACTTCCACCGCCACACTCACCCCTATTTTCTCTCAAAAGCCTTTCCAAAAGTAAGATAAGATAAAACTTATCTTTTAATTCCTTTTTATGTGCTTACTAAAGGCGATGTAGTTTTAATAATATAAAATTCTTACTGGGCGGTTGGTTTATTATTTTAGAATTATCCTTGATTAATCATAAAGGTTGCATATTTCTTATTTTAATAATAGTTTCCACATAAACATATCATCATACATGCACCTTTATATATTTTTATCATTTCCCGTATACATGCATAACATCATATTTCCATACATAAGTACATAATTCCTTCATCATGCATGTTATCACATTTTTCATATAATTGTCACATAAAGGTTACCTCAACCCAGGTTGTTATCTGAAACCTGGTTATCACAAAACCACAAGCAGGAGACTGATACCTTGAAAACATAAACAATTAGGGTTACCTTGAATAGATAATTAACCAATGAGATCAATTGAAGGGGTTTCCGAAGCTACTGAATTGGTAAAACAAAGAAGGGTTACATAAACAATTAGGTTGAAACCCATTGAAAATCGATAGATAAATCATTATGGTAGAAACCCAATATGAGTCGATAAACCACAAGGATAACATAAAGCAAAAACCATTAGAGTCGAGAATAAACCTTGACTCGAGAATGAAACTGAACCTTTAAGAAATCCCCAAAGCTAATGAATCGAAAAAAAATAGAAACCATTGGGGTAGAAAGTAGTAAGAGATAATACCTTGAATCGAGAAGGGATACCTTGAATCGAGAATGAACCTTATCGATTAATATGTAAACCAGGAGATCAATTTTGGAGGGAAAGTAAACTTTGAGAAGCAATCATCATGTTAGGAAGAGAAACAATTGATTATCTTGGGAAGAGAAGCTTTGGGAAGTAAACCAAGAGGATGAAGCATCACATTGAGAATATGATTTTTAAAAGCATTAAGAAGTTGTATAATGTGTTTGTGATATTTTGTAATTAAGAGATTAAGACTTTTTCATTAAAAAATAGTACTCGATGCATTTAAGTTGTTTTTGGAGTTGTATATTGTGTTTGTGATATTGTAATTAAGAGAATAAGACTTTTCAATAAATAGTAGTACTCAATGCAATTAAGTTGTTTTTAAGACTTTAAAACTTTGTGTATCAAAAGGTAGTACCTTATGTGATTAAAGTTGTTTTTAAGACTTTTCTCAAATATGCTTTAGTAGGTAGTATAGATATGGATATATGTTCACCATATATACAAAGGAGTTACATATAAAACGGAGAACATATTGAATATATATATATATATATATATATAAAGGATATGTGATGGTGTAATTGTCTAATGTACATATAATAGAGACTCAATAGTCATACTAAATCCAAGAAATAAAAGGGTATCGGGTTCATCGGGTTGGGTTGAGTTCAAATAAAAGCAACCCAATATCAATACAATACCTATAGTTTGAAAATCTTACAACTTGATTAGACATCAGGTTGAGTTATTTCGCGTTAGGTTGGGTTGGTCGGGTTTTTTAGCACATCTAACAAGAGCATCTCTCAAAAAATTGGAGGAAATGGAAATGAAATTCCTTATCAAAACTCAAGGAATTTAAGTTTCATTACTTGTGAAATTAAATTTAGTACTAAAACTCACATGATGAACCAAACTCATTGATCGAATTGACCATTCAAAATTCTTCAAACTCCAACGAATTAAACACCATTTTAGAGATACAAACTGTCCTTAAAACTTAGAAGAATAAACCAATTTCAAAACAAAAAGCAAATCTGAATGATCCAATTATCTATTATGATATATAACATTTGGACAAAAAGTTGATTATTAGTAACTCTATCCGGACCCACATGAAACTGCATTCAATAATACTAATGAGAGGACATTTTTTTACTCATGCAACAATTAAGGTTAGTGTGCAATCAGGAGGGGGGTGGAGGTCTGGGATCAAACTCAGAACATGTCTTGTATTACGGTGAAATCATCCCACCATTTTATTGATTGAGCTATACGCATCGCAATAATTATTATATTATATAGGGTAAGTGTTGGTCCCAGCTGGGTCTACAAGTGTTACGAAGCGAACAGTTTGTAGAAGGGGGAAAGGATGAATACAAACACAGAAAACTTTCACTTTTAAAAATATATATTGATATAGAAGGATCAATACACATTTTTACAGATTGTTTGTGGAAAAAGAAAAGGTAAAGATAACCTATCTAAAACAATCTAGAATTACACACAAATATACTTAGCAAATATAAGAAATTTGCCAAATAAGATAAAGACAAAAAGATGTTCTTCTTAGGTAAGAACTTTAGAATCAGAAGGAGATTCTACTTGCTTGAAGGTAAGCGTATGTGTTCTTTTGTGTGTTCTAGTTGTAGTGCGTGAGGAGAGTACTCAGCTAATTTATATCCATTGCATTAAATGCAATTCAGAAGGGTTAGAACACACGTCAAACTTTTAGAGGAAAGCTTATCCTTTGCAACAATGAATAATACTATTGTCTATTCATGAACAGACATCCTTTCATGGAGTTGGTGGGCAGTAGAGTCGACTAGTCGGCTCCGTACAATACTATACTCTTGAAAGGGTATGGGTTTGTCCTTTGTGTGTGGAAGGTCAAGACAAAAACAATCATGCATGGAAAGCTTTATTTGATTGCTGAATGCTGAAATAACGCTAGAGGTCTCGTCAACATTCACTGAGGCTTGTGCAGTCTTCAGACGTATGTTGACCAGGTTGTAATCACTGAATACCGCTTCAGATCACGAACGCGCCAGTCACTAATCTTCAGTTTCAGTCTTTGACATTCACTGAAGGTTCTTGGGTGTGAGTTTTGTTTTCTTGAAGTATCGCTGTCGCTATGGGATTATAATGCATGTTTCAGCGACCATTAAACAAATTCAGTGATGGTCGTTGGAACTGAAAAACAGAAACATAATAGTTTGAAAGGTAAAAAAGATTATCATCAAATCAATGAGAGAGAGGATCAACAATCTCCCCCTATTTGATGATGACAAAGCAATATAAAAAAATTGCCTTAAGGTTTAATAGTAAGGAAAAGTTACATATAAAGTACATGTCCCTTTTAACTATTTTGGGATCTTTTTCAGTGATACAGTTTTTACTATATAAGTTTTCTTAAGTTACAAGTTTTAAGAAGAAGTATAAGAAGGGAAACTGAAACTAAAAGCATGTTTACTGACTGAAGATTGTCAATAACTGCAAGAGCATACTAGAACTCATAGACATGTGTCCCTATTACTCTTTTCAGGGAACTTTTTCAGTGATACTGATGAAATACTTATATTAATCAAAGGAGAATTACAAGTGTTACAGTTAGTACATTCTAGACTTATTACATATAAGTTGTATACTGAAAGAAAAGACATAGAAAAATAAGACTTACAATGAAATATAAAATTTACAAGACAAAAATTTCTAACTAATCTAAGTCGCTAAAGTCGATGTAACCAGGTACTTCTTCTCCGAGTATCTTTCGACGTAGAAATTCTTTTCTAATCCTGCGGTCTATCATTTCACCATAAAGATCATTGTCCAACCAATATCTTAGATAATAAAGATGTTCTATAGGACAAAGACCAAACTCATACACTCTTTGAAAGTTATGTTTACCTTCATAGTCAAGGAATATAAATCCAAACTCAGGTTTTAGATGCACAATGTTGGGTATGTAGGGACCCTTTGCTGGTAAAGAGAGGTTCAACATAGAGATGTCTAGCTTCTTCGAATCCTTTAGGACTTCCTCCAGGAAGAACTTTGTTTCATGTTCTTTCCTCAGAGTTGGTCCATCGTTAGGATCTGAAGGTTTTCTTTTTCTACCTTTTCTTCAATATCAGCTTTGTAGGTACAACAACGAATTTGGACATCTTCTTGATCAGCTCGCTTAGGATGTCTTATTGGCTTGTGCCTTGACTTTGAACGCTGAATGGCTTGGCGGATTTCCAGCCATTCACTGTAGCCGTATTGTCCAAGGTAGGAAGGATACTCGGTAACAGCTTCAAGGTTGTCTCTAGTGATGAGCATGGAGATGAGAAGTCCACCATCTTTCATTTGTCCAATTATTGTGACGATTGAGATGCCGTGAGGACTTATTTTTTTATTTTTGCCTCCCATACACTGGATGAAATGGGAAAACAAAACTGCCATACCGTTAACATGCGGTTCTTCTCAATCTTTGAAAGCGACTTGAGGGGATCGCTGAAATCCTTCTTTGTTGGCCAGGCATAGCCAATATCATCCAAGCAGGAGATGATATCTTCAGTGGAAGGTTCACTGGCATAGGGACCCTTTGGTAGATGGAGAGCGGTCCTCAGTGTGGCAACGCCAAAACTGACAGTCATCCTGTTAAAGGTGAAGGAGATTTTCTCCACCTGTTTGCTAGTCTTGTCAGTCTATTGAACTACTTCAACAGTAAGCCAGAACTGCTGAAGAACTTCCTTCACCATGACAGGTTCATGAGAGATAGCGAAAGAGATAGGAGAGTTCTTGAGGAATGTAGCAGCTTCCTCGTAGTAAGATTTGTTGGCCGGAATGTCTAAAAGCGCCATATGATTATTGGGCTTAAAAGACACATCATCAATCGAGAAGTTCACATTCTTGGCAGACATTTCTGTTATAAGCAAAAGAAAATAAGAAATAACAGATTTGTTAGAAATCCAAGATACATATGTAAACTATTAAGTTTTGAAACAATAAAATTTCTTTTGAAAAATCCACAAAGAAAATATTAGGGTTTTTCAAGAAAAGTAAGTGTATAGAAACTTTAGATTATAACCAAGTATAAGAATGTGTTAATAATCTTTATGTTACTTGTTTAAGAGAACAAGATTTTAAATAACCTAACATGAGGTTCTTAGAAGAACATATCAAAGGGAAAGAAGTGTTATCAACTTGTGAGTCTTAGAAGAAGAAGGTTGAAGGATTTTGAGAGTTCTTTAGTTCTTGCTTGCAAAAGGTTTTGAGGCAGAGATTCGACAAAATTATTTGAAAAATATTAGAGGAGAAATCTCATATTTATAGGTAGGAGCAATGGCGAATACATAAAAATATATTGTAGGGGGCATGATATAAGATAAAATAATAATTAACTTCAATTTCATACAAAAATGATAAAAAAATTACCTCTTACAACTGTGCCCTACGACTTTTCATCTTTTGGAATTGAGTAATTACATCATCATTTGAAACTGTGAGAAGTGCTTCTTTTTCTATAGTACATATCATCGCATTATTCAAAAATTCATCACCAATTTTGTTGCGCAAATCTGACTTCACAATCTTCATAGCAAAAAAACATCTTTTGACTGTTGCTGTAGCAACTGGCAAAACCAAAGCTAACTTCAATAACCGATATACTAGAGGATAAGTTTTATGTTTTTTAGTTTCCACTAGCAGTCTAGCGAGCTCGACAATACCACTCAAATCGGTAAATCTTTCATCTTGACGCACAATCAAATAGTTCATGTTAAGTTGTTTCTCAAGAACGATCCTTTCCATATGACTAAAATCTTGAGAATACAACTTACTCAACTTCAACAAATCTGATACATTGAACTGCGAAAATGAATCACATGGACTCAAAGCTGCTATATTTTTAAGCAATTCAATACTTAACTCACTAAATCGATCCCCAAACTCTTGAATTTGCATGTCCACAACAGTGTTGAAAATATCAAACTTGTAATAATGACGATTGGTGATGTTGGTCTTTTGTATTCCGTTTTTTGAATAACGGTCTTCCATATCCAAAGCTTTAATACCATTTGCTTCACTAAAAGAATACATTTTCTTCAAAAGTGGATCAAAACCAGTTTCCCTAAATTGTTGCAATAGTTGTTTGGTTCCTCTTATCAATGAAACCGTTTCCAAAATATCTTGATCCTTTTTTTTGAAGAGTCCGTGACAACAAGTTTGTGACCTCTAAAATATGAAACATCAAATACAAATAAATCACAAAATCAAATGTCTTCAAATATGCTAAAATACCAGTTGCTTATGTGCGACTAAAACCATTATCCCCGTCCTCTTCAACATACTGGAACACTTCAACAACATTAAAAAACAAAGCAATCAAGCTCAAAATGGTTTTGTAATGAGAACCCCACCATGTATCTCCGGCTTATATAAGCGAAACCTCTTGGTATCTCCCTGTTCCAGTTTTAATTTCACATTTACCAATTGCTTCTTGCACTCTATCTTTGTAAAATTGTCGAAGCATGTCTTTACGCTTGCAAGAAGCATTCACCACATTGATCACCATTTCTAACATATTAAAAAAGTTCTCAACTCCGTCATGTTTATTTGCAACCGCCACAACAACTAATTGAAGTTGGTGATCAAAACAATGGATATAATATGCCAAGCTATTTTTCATTCAAGATCAAGGTCTTTAATCCCTTGAACTCACCGCGCATATTGCTTGCTCTGTCATAACCTTGCCCTCTTACCTGTTTCAAACTCAATCCATGTTCAGCAAATAAAGTATCAATGACAGATTTAAGAATTGAAGAAGATGTCCCTGTCACATGAACAATACCAAAAATTCTCTCCTTAACAATACCACGTGCATCAACATATCGTAAAACCACCGCCATTTGTTCCTTCTTAGAAACGTCACTAGACTCATCAACTGGCAATGAGAACACATCATCACCAACTTCTTTACGAATGGATTTGAGTATTTGATTTGCAAAACAAGCAACAATATCTTTTTGAATACTAGGAGACACCATTTGATTATTCTTTGGAGCATTTTTTTAATATAACTTTACCTACATCCTCATTGCAATCACCAATTAAGGCTATTGTTTCTAACAACATGCCTTTAGAAATAGACATTTCAGATTCATCATAACAACGAAAGGGCAGTGCATTCCTCAACAAGAATCTACAGGCCTTAATTGAAGCATTTAGTCGTATTCAGTGCTCATTCTTCTCCTTTTCAGTTTGCTTATGAAAGGCAACGACAATAGATCGATCTTGGCTCATTAGATCCTCACTTTTCTTCAGTGCTCTATTGTAAAAACTATTAATGTCGCCGACATGAAGACCAAGTCTTTCCGTTTTATTCCAACTATTAAAGCCATCTGCTACAAAAGCATCACTCCCACATTGTCCTATGTAACGATCTCGAAACAAATAACAACACAAACAAAAAGCTCTATCCATTTTTACACTATACTCCAACCAATTAGCGTATTGATCAAACCAAGCCGGATAAAAACGTCTTCCTTTACTCCCGACAAATTTTTTTGGAAATGCATGACCCCGTGGTTGACAAGGTCCTCTAAGAAAGTATTTTCTTCTTATTTCATCCCTTTGATTAGGATGATAATCTGAAATCTTTTTCCTATCGGCTGGATCCCAAGGAAGATCGTTCAAATCAATTTCGTAGGGCATCGAAGAAGCAGAGCTCGATTCAGGTGTTGATGCTTTCCTTCTAAAAAATCTTTCCATTTTTTCTACCAATAACAATAACAAGATACAAATCAATGGTTTATCTTTATGAATAGTAACATTTCCATTTGCCTACAAAATTGCAAAATTAACCTAACATTTCCATTTGCCTACAAAATTGCAAAATTAACCWRACATTTCCATTTGTYTATAAAATTGTAAAATTAACCTAACATAAAGCATTTACCAAATCACCAATTGTGAAGCAAACAACAAAATCAAAGTCATTAAAAATTAAATACTGGAATTTGGAAATCAAAATTTTTACGCAATTTGGAGTTGCTTCAATGTCCACTGTCCAGGAAGGAAGAAGAAGCAGCGATGAACATGAAGATCCAAAGAGGGAAGGAGGAAGACAGGAAGTGAATAAGCAGCAGTGATGGCCGATGGGCCGATCGGCCGAGCGCAGGCGAGTGGATGCAGCGATGGCCGATGTGTCGGTCAGTCGGTGTCGTGAAGAACGTGAAGCGTGAACTGTGAGAAGAAATGGAAGGCTAAATGAACTAATGGTAGTGGGGGGCCTTCATAATTATCTTATTGGGGGACCAATTATATTAAGTTAAAAATTATAAGTAAAAAATATGGGCTTTCTACAACTTATTTTGTTGGGGGCCAGGACCCCAATGGCTTCAACCTGCATTCGCCCCTAGGTAGAAGGAGAGAGAAATGAAAAGAGAAGAGAGAAAAACACGACTTAAAAGTTGTGCAATGATGAAGAAAATAACACGTTCTCATCCACGTTTGGATGAAATTTTGAGGGGTCGCGTGTGTCAGAATGATACGTTCGTCTAAAAAAAAATCGTATTGTTTAAAATAAAAATGACGTCATAAGACGTTACATTTTCCATTTCCTTTTAAACAAAAAATTTAAGATATTCAAAACATCATACTTAAGAATATGAAAAGTTTTTGAAAGGGTTCAGTGATAAGAAGAATCATTGAAGAAAAATAAATCTTTTAAAACATTGATCACTGAAAGAGAAAAGCTTTAGTGATGGTTTTGTTTTAAGAAAAGAAAAATATATCTTAGAGAGATATATTTGCTTAAATGGTTCAGTGATGAAAGAAACACCGAAACAATCTTTTAAAACTTTTATATCACTGAATAAGGAAAGGTTCAGTGATAATTTTTGTTTTAAGATGAGATAAGTATATCTTAGAAAGATATACTTGCTTTAAAAAGTTCAGCGATAGAAGGAATCACTAAAACAATCTTTTAAAACGTTTTGATCACTGAGTATGAAAAGACTCAGTGATAGTTTTAAGTTTTGAAGAGAGAGAGAGAGAGAGAGAGAGAGAAAGTATACATACCTTATAAAGAGAAGATATATTTACTCAAGAGTTCAAAGATAGAATTAGAACACTGAATGTTCCAATTATCTATTATGATATATAACATTTGGACAAAAAGTTGATTATCAGTAACTCTATCCGGATCCACATGTAACTGCATCCAATAATACTAATGTGAGAGGACATTTTTTTGACTCATTCAATAGTTAAGGTTAGTATGCACGTTGGAGGGAGGTGGAGGTCTGGGATCAAACTCATAACATGTCTTGTATTAGGGTGAAATCATTCCACCATTTTATAGACTTGGCTATACGCATGGACATAATTATTATATTATATAGGATAAGTGTTGGTCCAAGCCGGGTCTACAAGAGTTAAAAGGCGAACAGTTTGTAGAAGGGGGGGATGAATACAAACACATAAAACTTTTACTTTTAAAAATATATATTGATATAGAAGGATCAATACAGATTTTTACAGATTGTTTGCAGAAATAGAAAAGGTAAAGATAACCTATCTAAAACAATCTATGATTATACACAAATATACTTATCTAAAGGACTGGTTTGAAAACTATATATTTAAAAAAAGTAATTATAAAAACACATTAAATTTTGCTTATTGTTGATCCCCTCTCTCATTGATTTGATGATAATCCCTTTTACCTTTCGAAATATTATGTTTCTGTCTTTTCAGTTCCAACGATCATCACTGAATCTGTTCAGTGATCGCTGAAACATGCATTGTAATCCTACAGCGACAACGATACTTCAAGAAGACAAAACTCACACCCAAGAACCTTCAGTGAATGTCGAAGACTGAAACAGAAGATTAGTGACTGGCGCGTTCGTGATCTGAAGCGGTATTCAGTGATTACAACCTGGTCAACATACGTGTGAAGACTGCACAAGCCTCAGTGAATGTTGAAGAGACCTCCAGCGTTATTCCAACATTCAACGATCAAATAAAGCTTGCCATGCATGATTGTTTTTGTCTTGTTCTTCCACACACAAAGGACAAACTCATACCCTTTCAAGAGTATAGTACTGCACGAAGTTGACTAGTCGACTCTAGTGCCTACCATTTAAACCTATAAAAATTTAAATACGTTTTTTATGAAAGTATACCTCAAACATAAAACAATTAATGAATTTTATTTTTGTATTGAATTTGTTATAGCCAAAGTTCATGAACATTTTTTAACAACATAATTCATTTACGTGAAATTTGATAATTTGTATTATATTTGATTAAATTAAGGGGGTGTTTGGTTAAATGTACTAAGCGGTAATTAATGAAAGAAATTGTTTTGTTTTATATAATATAACTAGTATGAGAACCGTGCGTGGCACGGTAGTGTAAGTACAAACATCCTTCATATAAGAAAACATTAACTAAAATAATGTCATTCTAATATATACAAAAATAAATAAGATAAACCAAAATAACCTACGTAGATCCCTATGTAGGTTCAACTTGGTCAGTAGTCAAAGCCTCTTCTTCGATGCTTACTCAATCGCCTATCATCAATCTCTATCTTCAATATATTCTAATCCTCAGACGAAGTTTTTTTTTTTGAAGATTTTCTTGTATACGATGTGGAATAGAATTGCATTAACCATAGTAGGCGTTAGTGAGAATCATAATAAATATGAGAAGAAATAATATCAGTTGAATTTTAGAGAATATGAATATATAAACTTAGTAAAACCTTACCTTATCTACTCGGTGGATGGATGAATGTTATGGAACACTTCATGGTAGACAATATTTTTTTATGAGTGTATGGTGTTCCCTTTCTTCATCAGCATTTATTATGGTTAATCTTTCATGTGATGCCACTCGTGAAACAACCACATATAGTTATCCATGTGTGAAAACCTATCAACTGAAATTATGCAATTATATGTGAATATAAATATATATATTTAAATGTGCTAATATAAGAAAATTGAGAAGTGCAGTGTTTTAGGAAGTATAGGCCAACGCGACTTAAATATTGTCCCTGACTTTTACTAATTGCCATGACAAAGCATGGGACCAATGGTATTGACGTCGATTAAGCTTGAATGGCCATTTTGATTCATTGGACGACATTATAATTCTTGGAATAGTGACACTTTCTCCTTTATTAGTTCCTGAAATAATGTCACCTCTAACAGACCATATTCCAAGTAATATGACAATCAATCATGTTCCATTGCATAATCCTTCTGTTTGATTGATGTTGAGTAATAACATAGCAAAGGCTCCTACCTTTAACTGAATCTCATGATTTGGTATGCCATTGAATCACAAACTGTTTAAGAATGCAGTTGGATAAAGGAGGTCTTCATAATTTGTTTGTACACTTCCTTTGCATACTGTGTCTGAACTTAGATATGTTTTTCCTTCTCCTGGAAATATGTCCATGATAAATGTGTTCAATTCTTAGACTATATCATTTTTTGGCGTTAGAATTGCCCTTTCAGTTATATATGAAGAACTATTACAGTTTTCTAAGAGAGAAGGATATATCATTTCAACGACTGATTCAATCGGGTTGCCATATGGGAAGATGCAATGGGCAACTATAGCAATTCATTGGTTACATCATCGTAGGCAGTGCCATTTTTGAGGAATATGATTGTATGCGTGATAGCATCTACAATACCAGGAATATCAATGAATCTGATTATAGCAATTGCTCAAGATACCCTTTTCTAGTTTCTAGGGTCTATTTCTTAGTCAAGATCCCTATTACTAACTAGAATCAAAGAATTAGTAGATATGTTCCGCCCAAACTTGGGTTATGAACTTATAATCTATAATCTGATGATCGAGTAGGTTTTATGATTATAAGTTC